AGTGGAATAAATCCAGCTCACCTGTGCACCAGCAGAAGCAGGGCCAGCCCCCGGAGGCTCCAGGCCAGTGTGGAGGCCGCGTCCCGGTCCAGGTGCTGCGTGGCGGGGCCAGAAAACAGGAACACCTGGGGGGTGAGCTGGTAGGGGAACGGAGGGGGGGGCACTGAGGAGGGCTCCACATGCACCTCGGACTGAAAATCAGACAGAAGGGGACATTCACAGATATGTTTTTACCTTTATGTGATGACGGGATGCAAAATTAGACAAAAACACCATTTTCTGTGCTGAATCGGGCCTTTTGAGTGAAAACTACAACAAATCAAAAAAAGTAAATCATAATCCTTATCCTGAATTAGGAGTCATTTTTTGCACATTTTTGCAAAAATGTTACCATTTTAGCACATTTGTAGCCTAAATCTGACTTCAATATTTTTTTTTTGCCAAAATCTGACTTTTTTTGCACATTTGTTACCTAAATCTGACATTTTTTGCACATTTGTTACCTAAATCTGACTTTGTTTGCACATTTTCCCCTAAATCTGACTTTTTTTGCACACTTGTTACCTTAATCTGACTTTGCACATTTGTTACCTTAATCTGACTTCTTTTGCACATTTGTTACCTTAATCTGACTTTTTTTGCACATTTGTTACCTTAATCTAACCTTTTTTGCACATTTGTTAGCTAAATCTGACTTTTTTTTGCCTAAATTCTGACTTTTTTGCACATTTGTTACCTTAATCTGACTTTTCTTTGCCTAAATCTGACTTTTTTTGCACATTAGTTGGCTAAATCTAACTCTTTATGACAGTGTGAACAGCAGGAATGCCTTTTTCAGATTCCTGGGCACCACTCCTGTATCTTTGGTGGTCCGCCCAGGTTGGTGGCTGCTGATTGGCTGCTGAAACTCCTCCGCCCCCCCCCCTGCTCACCACCAGTGGCGCCTCCATGAGCTGCAGGAAGGCGTGCAGCTGCAGGGTGCAGAGCGGCCTCCGCATGCGGGTCATTGGGCAGCGCTCGGGGGGGGGCGGGGCCAGGTGCCCCCCCGCCGCTCTGCAGTGCAGGAACCAAACCCGCGACCCCGGGGACGAATCGTTCACCCTAAAGACACCAGCCGCGCGTTAGAGGAGGCTAACGTTTTTCCATAATTCTTTTCCTAAATCTACCTAAATCTACCTTAATCTGATTTTTTTGCAATTTTTTTGCCTTAATCTGATTTTTTTGCTATTTATTTGCCTTAATCTAAACTTTCTTTTGCACATTTTTTCCTTAATCTGACTTTTTTTGGCTCATTTGTTGCCTTAATCTGACTTTTTTTGGCTCATTTTTTTTTCCCAAAATCTGACTTTTTTTGCACATTTGTTGCCTTTATCTGACTTTATTTGCACATTTATTTCCTAAATCTGACTTTTTTTGCACATGAGTTGCCTTAATCTGACTTTTTTTGCACATTTTTTTTCCTAAATCTGACTTTTTTTGTCCATTTGCTACCTTAATCTGATTTTTTTTGCAATTTTTTTCCCTTAATCTAAATTTTTTTTGCACATTTATTTCCTAAATCTGACT